CTGGTTTATCGTTAATTTTAAAAACATCTCCCAAATATGATATTTTCAATACACAATTTTCACAACAAAATTTTTGCGATTATTATACAATAAGTATAATTCAATGAAAGAAAGTACTATTCCCGTTAGCGAAGCGTTTTCAGAGAATCCAATAAAAACACTAACAGTAACACAACATCATGTTATTTTACATTCAATATAAATATAATATTACATATGTTGTACGCAACAGTTACATTGTTGAATGTGAAATTATAACACTGATGTTATAATTACTATTAGCTGATGTTTACTAGAAAACGTCTCATCCACAGATCTAGGCAAGGAGGTAAAGAAGTACATGGACAGCGGTAGCTTCGTCCCAGACGACACGATGATATCGCTTATCGGGCATGAGATCGGATCGATGGCGGATCGAAATTGGCTGTTGGACGGTGAGTGGAAGGGAAATTATTCTGACCTCGTCACGAGGCCGAGGTCGTTCTCTTGAAGCCGTGAACCTGCCGTCTGTATTTCTAAACGCGAACGAATATCTTGGCAGGATTCCCGAGGACGTTGACGCAGGCGGAGCGATTGCAGAGGCTACATCCAATCAATCTCGTGCTGAATCTCGTGGTGCCTACCAACGTCATTCTAGACCGAGTCAAGAACAGATGGGTTCATGTGCCCAGTGGTAGGGTCTACAACATCGGCTTCAACGATCCACGAGTGTCGGTAATCAGCGCAATGAGTGTATATCTATTTCATTGAAAAAGAGAGCTGGAACAAGCCGAGAGTATAACTGAGTTCACACTATAATCAATTGATTATTTGATCATAAGTATAAAGCACTTTCAATTTATGATACTTTCTTGGAAAAAAACGGCAATAAAATCCAAAGAAAAATTAACAAAACATTAAAATTATTATAAGAATAAATATTTTTCAATAAAACTTTTTAAATTTACTTTTTGTTACAGAACGTTTTGTTTACGTCAATTTGTGGAAGTACTTTATACCTTCCAAGGCTGTAATACAATAGAACTTGTTATAAAATAGTTGATCTAATTATTTAAAAAATGCTAATATTTATATTTCGCTTATAACGAGAGTTGAATATTTCGACATTAATTATAGTTATTTATATAATAATAATAATTTAATATTTTAATAAGAATTTAATAAGAATTTTAATAATTTAATATTAATAATTTTGTCGTGTTTTGCAGGGCAAGGACGATGTAACAGGTGAGCCATTATGTCAGAGAGAAGATGACAAACCAGAAGTCGTGCAAAAGAGACTGCAGGATTACGCGACGAAAACCGAGCCAGTCTTGCAGTTTTATCGCGAGATTGGAATAGTGAGGGAATTTCACGGCAACACTACCAATGAAATGTGGCCGGCAATCAGGAATTGCGTGACACAATACTGTTGCACTTCAGAAAGATCAAATATTTAAATAACTTCAAATGTCGGATAATTGTCGCGCAGACGGTTCTGATTTTCAAATATCTATAGATCTGTTCGAAAATTTTTCTTTTTCAATAGATATATCTCTAAAAGAAACAGATTTTTGGACATTAAATCCATGTCTAATTCTTACATCTTATCTGCCTAAAAATTAAATTGAATTAAATAGATATAGATCTCATTAGATTAGATAATGTGCGCCTAAAAATATTCTCGTATTCATTATTTAAGTACGAAAATGAACAAGTAGGTCTATTTGAGACCTGTAATTTGCTCATCCCACACGATTTCGAGTAACAAATGGAGATATACGCTCTTGTCCGACAATTGTTTCTTTATCTTGCGACAATAAAGAGAATGTGTACTACAGCGCAATTCGCGCTCTCTTACGCACGCAGGAACGCACACAAGCATGAATGTCATTAAGTTGTAAATACGTGCGATATCGTGTCGACAATAATAGACTCTCGTAGATGTTCCCGATACGGAATGCCTATGTGATACAACGAGAATTCACGGTAACTAAAGACACTGAACCGAAGACGAGTTATCTCTTGTTTCCGCGAAGCACTTGCATGACGAGCTGTTGATTATTACAGCTGTTTGGCTAAAGTCCGAAATATAGTACAAATTACAAAGTAGGAATGATCGTTCGAATGAGCGATGATACATTTCTGGAATGGCGTAATCGTCACACACTTGTTCTTATTTTATTTCGAGCGTATAGCGTTACAGTTGTAAGAGATATATATAACAATGTTCAATATATTGTGTACATATTCAACAGTATAAGTACAATATACGCATATACATATGCATATACACGTATACATACATATACAGTGTGAGGCATCTAAAAAAAGTGTACATCTAAATGATTCTTTAATAGTCCTCTTTTTCACTTTACTCTTGTTTTTCTATTTTTAAATCTACCTTACACTTTAGAGAGAATATTCTAGGTTTATTTGTCATCGATCAAACACCTTGTACGTTATCTTACTTCTTTAAAACGCTCGAATAATCTTGAAGCGCGAAATAAATGCTTCACTCTAATCTATTCTCTAAAATTTATTCTACTCTATTTTATTATGAATCTAGTATCTTTGAAAAAATATCGTTAAAGACGAAGTAATTTAGCTCGTAGGAATAACAAGGAAAAAGATTCGTTTAAGGTCATAGTTTTTAACATTTCAAAAATTTCGCTTTTTTTACATAGATATTCTTGGACATTTTTTATTTTTGTATCTATAAATAGGTACAGATATCAAACTTTTTCTAAATAAATATTTAGACATACACTATTGGATGCTTCACCCTGTATATACCATGTTCACGTTCCTCAAATCCTCTTTATTCCTTTTCAAGGCAGAAGAGTTACTCAAGAATAACTCAATTATAAATAAATAAATAAATAAATAAACATCTTATCGTACTCTTCTTATGAATCAGACTTTTAAGAACTGCCACGCTTTATTTGCGTGGATTTTTAGAAAAAGAATTTCGCAAAACTATAAAGTACAATTAAACAATAAATATACAATTAAGTTTTAATTTAACAATTCAACGAGATTTAACGCACATTAAATTATTTCAAGACTAATGAAAGTTTTGCAACAATATTGTTGCAATATTAAGTCATATTAGTCATTATTAATGATTAATATATAAAATCAATTTCGAGATTATATGTAACAAGAAATGTTGTGCATCGCCATAATAATTGCATACATATATACATATACATATTAATTGAAAATACGGATGAATCAGCTTAATCGAATAACTTGTACTAACGTTGGAAATAATCGTTTGCTTTCTTATCTCCTTTTATAAGTAACTGGTCATGAGTTAACTCAAATCCTGTTTTCATTCACGCATTGAGATCGATGGGAATGCGCCAGTCCTCAACTCTTGAACGTCTCGTCCTTTTTAGAATGATATATCCGATTCGCTGTTTTCCTATATGCGCTCTGGAGAAGCGAATATACGAAAAGAAATAACAATCGCGAAATAAAGACGCAGAGATGTTCTCCGAGAGTAACTCCGATCATGGAATCGTACTTTCGCGTTCTTTTCGTTCTTCTTTTTTCCCTTTTTTATCTTAATGCAACAACTCGAACTCCTCGCACTCGAATAAATCATCCTCCACGCTCTCATGACCGAATCTACTTGAAGACGGCAGAAGACCCTCGACGACTTCAATTCCCTGCTGCAGATCCTTGCCGCTTCCCTCGCAGAACAGGAACATCGGGTAGTCCATATTCTGGTTCGGTATCACGAACTGCAATGTTAACGAGACATTTTAACTCGATACAAAATAGAAACCTTTTTTTATTGTATCTTTTATAGATATGCCTATATTTGAATTATTTTTTGTCTCCAATATGTAAAAAGTTGGGAAGTATACTGATGATATTTCTTTTTGTTAATTTAAACTGTTATATCTTAATTGAATTCGAATTCAAATGTGCTTAAATTAACAATATGTTCACATTTACCTGTTGAATTGTTTCCATGAAGTCGGTGAGAGATTCCTTGTCAGGAAAGTAGAAGCCTACACAACAACTAGGATCCATCTTCGAGAGTAACATTTTTCTCGGTGACGTGCAGTGGAAACTTATCAACGGGAATTTTTCATTTCCTTCGACGTCAACGGTCTCCTGAGTAAGTGTGTGTGTGTGTAAAGAAATAAATTAATAATTATATTTAAAAAATATTTTATATTCTAAGATCAAATCTACTTCGAGAGACAAAATACAAAATAAATTGAAAAAAATGTATATACCTCTCTAACTTAAGAATAAAGAAAGTAAAACAAAAAAATACATGAAATAAAAAAATAAAGTGACAAAAATTCGAACATTAAGTAAGACGAATTAAATATTTCAGATATATATAGATATTTGCTTCCTCAAAAGTTGAATGCTACCTGACAGTAATGTGGATCCAAGTGGATCAGTTTGTCATCTTGATAGCCGATGAAATAGAGCGAATGTCGCGGTCGGCCACCGATCACGCCAATACACGTGTCCAATGTCAACAGCGATGTCAAACAAGGCGCGTAAACAGGGTTTAGCTTGTCGGCACCGAGTCTCAAGGGTACTAAGAGTATCAATGCCTTCCGTCCACCGTCTGGAGTGCAGCAAACATTCTCGACATCTCGCATATACACTGAAAAAAATGTTCAACAATTGATAATTTATGCGTAACATAACAAAATGAGCAGCAGAATTTCTATTAATTTGCAAAACTTTTAATAAAATTCTCTTCTCTATGAAAAAAATTATTAATATGCTGCTTCTGTATAATTTTTGAATAATTTTGTTTTATATTAGAAAGTTTTATATTATTTTTTAATAAAAAAAGAAGAGATATTTAAAATTTTCAACTGTTATTTATATAATTAAACATTTTTTTTAGACTTTCTTTCTTAGATGTAATACGCACAGACTCAAATATTATGCGTTTTTCTAGTTTCGGTAATTAAATCTTTTTTTATATCATGCTGAATTCGTTGATACCAACCTGCGCAATCTTGAGCGACGTATACGGCCAACTGATTGAGCTTACTGTTGGGATCTTCGCTGGCGCGTTCCATAGCCTGACACAAAAGATGCGCGACCGAGGAGGGACCGTACCAGTCGCCCGCGCGTTTCCCTGTCGAAGCGCCGAGCGACACGAGCTTGTGTATGGAGAACGGAGATTCTGGCGTTGGTTGATCGCCAAACCATTTGATAATCATCCGATGACTGCTCTCATCAGTCGATTGTTCTGGTCGCCATCTCCACTCTGCATAAAATCAGGAAGTAAATTTATCATTCAGTTTTATGTAACATAACAAAAGTTAAGTCCATGTAAAAATTCACTATGTGTTTGTTAAATAAAATCGCGAAAACAAAATTACCATTTCAAATTTACAAGCAAAAATAATAATTTAAATAATTTTTATTTTAATTTAGAATATTTAAAATTTGCATATTGACTCTGTATTTTTTTATCTAGAAACAAATTTTCCTATTTTGTATTTTTATAAGAAAATAAACCAATCATTTTTAAATTTCATAAAATTAAGAGATCCAGTACATTTTTTTCAACATCGACTAAATTTGAAAAGGAGAAACAATTACCTCGTCCGAGAAAATGACAGACTAATGCTTGTGCCAGCATCATTTGCCCACTGCGTAGCATGCAGCCCCAACCGCAATCCGTGGTAAAGGTGGAGCCATTTAGGATTGGGAATTCGCGTCTGTATGTTAACCAAAGACGCGACATGAAATCCCTCTTGAATTCCTCTATGGTATTCTCGAAATTCGTGGCATCCATCGCCAAGGAAACCTGACTACCCGTTCCAACTGGCTCTAATGCTTCCGATGCTCTCTCCAAGGGATATTCTGACTTCTTCAGATAACACTGTCCCAGCAACCACACGGGAGATTCCTTAGAGAAGTTCGTCTTCATCTTCACAGTCCAACCTATATTATAAAAATATAAATACTGAAAGAAAAGATAAAATATGGCATAGCATTTTTATCATCTAATTTGCTGCAGCAGCCAATCTTTTCTTTCAGTGTATCGATGTAATTTGGTAATTATTTCTTGTAATATTGTTTGTATTATTACGTATAAATTTACTAAATGTCTTTGTTAAATAATCTAATAAAATCACAATCTAATATTAAGTATAATATTACATAACATAATTATTTAATATTATTTAATATTAGATAATAATATTAAGATCTGTAAGATTTTATAATAATTTATGACGGATAATAATTTATGACGGATAATAATTTATAACGAAAATGTAAATTGTTATAAAATATAAAATATTTTTTTAATATAAAATTTTTGCTGCAAAACGTTCGATATACATACCATATTTAACATTGTTCCACATAGAGAGCAATTTTGTTTTGACTTTGCTGTCGACTTCCGTCGCGGCCATGGTGTCGTCTAACTCGGCGTCCGAGTTGAATGATTGAATTGTAGGAACACGATCCGTGGCAATCATCCCGGAAAATAATCCAAAATTCACGGGACCGAAACCACCTACAAGGATATTTATTATTTATCAGTTTTATCTTAAAAGTTATCGATATCTCTGAAAAAATATTCGTTCACACATTTATCTGTTAGCAGTAATTTTTTGTCATTTTATCTCTCTGATTTTCCATATCATTTTTATTAAATTAGAACAGCGATAGCAAACTACCTTATAATTTCAGTC